TCCCGTCCCAGATGAAACCTGGCAGCGGCGTATCATTCACAAAGTAGATGACTGCAGTTGTCTTGAAGGCTGGCCCTGCCCTTTGGTGACATGTGAGACCCACCAAACCAAGACCACGGTCTAATAGCTGAGACTTGGCGGAGCCCCGGCTTGTCCCGGATACGTGGGCTGAGCTCAACTAGAAAGGATTTTGTAAACAGTTCCTTCCTCTGAATCAGTAATCATCCAGTTTTCAGGTCTTGGGGCAAGACACTCCCAGAGTTGTCTATCCCCATACATACATACCTACATACACACACACACACACACACACACTCTCTCTCTCTCTCCCTCTCTCCCCCTCCCCCCCCCCCCCCCCCCCTCCCTCCCCCCCCCCCCCCACCTCTCTTTCTCGGGCTCTAGCTTTCTGGGGCAGGTCCAGGGACCCTGCGGACATCGGCACTTTTGTACTTTCAAGGCTGTTCTTCCCCACCCCCCAGGGACCAATTCCGCTCTCAGCCCAGCACCTTCTGGCCACAGTTGGGCAGAGCCACAGGCAGACCGTGTGCCAGTGGGAAGGCAGACTCCTCCCTGGGTTTTTTTTAACACCCTGAGGTACCCATGAGCTTTGGATCGAGCTCCTGTAGGTATGGGCCTTTGTTAGGGTCTCAGGGGTAAGATTCCCTGGGATTTCCTGGCTCGGCCATCAAGGTCTTTCATCCCCTTGCTAGGCAGAAATTCCTCCTTTAATCCAACTCAGAATGCCTCCCACTCTAAGTCAAATGCATTTCCTCTTGCTGGCCTCGGTGAGATTCCCCGCCCTTGCTTTCCTGTCCCCCGTGTCTCCGAGTCCTTCGTGTCTCAGAGTCCTTCATCCGGGTACAGCATGACTCAGTGCACTGGGCCGGTGAATTGGGCCCTTTTGTAAGCAAGCCACTTCCTGATTTGTATGAATTGTGTTTTCCTGTATCACATTTTCCTAAATCTGCCTATGGCACCTGTCTTACTGGGCTCTGCCTACAGAACTATTTTAAAAGTTAAAATAAGTTACAAAGTGCTTTCTCCCATCCTCACGGAGCCCACCGAGAGGCAGGCAAAGGCAGACCACGCTCATGTGGTATAGATGAGGACCCCGGCCAGCCAAGGGGCTTAGCCCGAGGCCCACAGCTGGAAGGTCAAGGCTGGGGTCCCACTCAGGTCTTCTGACTCCAAGTCCAGTGCTCCCTTTCTCTGCACCACAGCTGCCTCCCTGAGCATACCAGCTGCCTGGACCCGGAAAGTGTAGGGGACACTGGGGACTGGCAGCTGGGGGCGAGGGAGGAGGAACTTGCCCAGAATTAAACCACTGGTGGGGGTGCTGCCCAGAGCGGCTGGCAGGCATGTGGGCCTGCTCCCCACAGCGAGCCCACAAATTGCCCACTTAGTGCTCATAGCTTCTGCGAAGAAATGCCAGGGTGTTCGCAAGACGGTGTCCTCTCCTGACACGGGAGTCGGGGTGTCCCGATTCGTAAATCTCAGCACTGTTTATTCAGCAACATATACCGAGACCCTCTCCCTCTCCGCACACATGCGCGCGCACACACACGCACACACACCCACGCACACACACCCAGCTGAGCAGTACCCAAGGTACTCTTGTCCGCTGAGGGTGCTGTCCTGTCCTCTCTTCCTGCCCCATCCTGGTCTGGGGGACTGTTTCCAGCCCTTCCAAAGGAGGCTCAGTGCCTGGGGAAAAGGAACCCTCCACCAAGATCCTTCCCCAAGCATTGCAGCTCCGGGGCTGCTTTCTCGTGCATCTCGCTCCGGTCATGCCCCTCAGAGGGAGAGAAAGGGTCCTCAAATGACTCCCCTTCCGGTGTAGCCAGCCGGTGTTCAGTACGAACTTCCCAAAAGAAGAGGACAACCTTGTCCCTAATGCCCTCCCCCCACCAGACAGAAGGAACAGCTGCTGACAAGTTTGCATGCCAAGTGGCACTCCCCCCTCTTTGCTAAGCAGTCAGGGCTGTTTGCTTGCTGTGCATGGGTGTCTGGAGGGGCTGTCTAGGGACTTGAACCTGCTTTCTGGAGCCTGGGTCTTCTCCCCACAGAGAGATGAGGAGGGAGTTGGCGGCTGCAGAGTACTGAGGCCTGACACCCCCCCCCGCCCCCGCCCCACCGCACGCACGGAGCCAGCCGCTTGCTGTCTGCCAGCTGCGCCCTCTGGCGGGGACCCAAGGCCCGATCTTGCGCCCCTGGCTGGGGGAGAGCCACAAGGTGACTTTGAGCAGGGATCAGGCCCTATGAGGAGAGAGTGTGTAGCAATATGGGACTTGGGGTTTCCAAGCTGTCTTCTCATCGGGTGCCTTCTTCTCAGGGTCATTTGCTGACAGGTGACTGAGCAGGGAGGGGTGTTGTAGGCTAAGAGGGGCTGCTTACTGTGAAATCCCTTCAGACCTCCTGGGCGCACAAGGACTGGGAGAGGTAGCTGGGATGGGCAGATCCCACTGGCCCTCTTAGCTCCTAAGCACACAGAGGGGACTGTTTCTGGCCAGCATCCTTCTATGGGCCTGCTACGTCCTGTCTCCCAGGCTGCTGCTTCTGGCTGGATCGGTCTCTGGTTGGCTTTCCCTGCTGAAAGGAGCCAAGATCAAACCCCCCTTCTCCCCAGCCCCGAGGTGGGTGGGCCTGCCTACCATCTTCTTGCATCTTCCATCTGGCCAGAGGAACAAGAAGCCAAAAAAATCTTCCCATCTTCCACTGTGGGGTCCCTTCTCTAGCTTCTCTTTACCCTGAAACAGAATTGGCTAGTTACTGTGCATAGTGGGGGTCAGCTGCCTGGGTAGACCAGGAGTCCACTGTCTGAGCTCGTTCCATTTTCCCTAGCCCAAAACAAAAAAAAAAAAACAAAAAAAAACAAAAAAAAAAAAACCACGTTAGACCAAGATAATTCTGCCTTTGAATATCTCAGCTTGGTATTTGCCTCCATGAGTGAGAAAGGCCAAATGTTATCTGCAAATTTAATCTCCTGTATTCAAAATTCCTGCCCCCTTTGTCTGCTCGTGCATTCGCAGACCAGCCTTTCACTTGCTCTAAGCCTCTGTCGGTTTTTTGGGGGTTTTTTTGTTTTTTTTTTTTTCTCTTGAAGCTGTTTCTTCCGTTGCCAGTTGACTCATTTCTCAGCTCCAGCTTCCAAGGGACCTCACCTTCGAGCCTCCTGCCCCAAGGGCACCTGGAGCTATCAGCTTCCCTTTTCTCTGCTCAGTCAAGGGCCAGATGCCGCTTGGTTTGATCTCCTTTCCGTCTCCGTCTCCTGCCAGCCTGGCGTGGGCGCGTGGTCAGTCTCTTCCCACCCCGGGCGCACGCCGGTAAAAATCAATGCACATCTGGTTCTTCGAGGCCTGCCAGAGGTCTGCAGTCCAAGGGCTGCAAGCACAGGCCCCGGGGCCAGGCCGTGGCCAAGAGCGAGGCTGCAGATGTTGAAAGCACCTGGTCACAGGTCAGAGAGTGAAATGCCATGGGAAGCAGAGGGAGAAGACTGTAGTGAGAAGCAGCCCCTTGGAGCCAAAGTCATGGAAATATGTAGTGTCCAGATTGTCTCGTTCTTCTGCGTGGGTTAGCTATAGTCCCGAAGGGGCTGGCCCCAGACTCACCTTCAGCTTTCACAATCAATGAGAACCTACTTCGGCAATTAAAAAAAAAAAAAAAAAAAAACCCCAGTTTGGGAAAGAAAAAGTTTAAGCGCCTAAGGGGAAATGAAAGATGAGACCAAATTAACCTGGTTGCCGCTGTGGCCCTCACTGAAGAAGGAATGATGGAATTTGGGGGGGCGGGGGCGGCGCTACGCCCAGGCAGTGTCTCCTCCCGCTGCCTCTCCTCACCACCACTCTCAGGATCTGCGGCTGGGAAGGCGCCTCTCTAGAGCACAGGTGCATTCCGAGCTCTTTATCTCAGCCTGGAGTTCATAGGAGGCTGACTAACAGAAAGGCATTTCGGTCAGATATGCTGTAGCTGTAAATTGGTTCAGTCGGTATGCTCTGCATTCACACTTCTTTGTCTTTTTTTTTTTTTTTTAAACAAAAGGAAAAAAAAGTTTAAACCCCCCCTTTCCTTCTACCGCAGGAGGTGAGTGCATGGGTGTCCTGTAGAACCATTGGCATTCACCCAGCTTCGGCCCCAGCCTCCAGATTTCGCCTTCCCCACCCCACCCCCTCCCTCCATCCCCTGCTCTCCACCCCAGAAGGGGACCCCTCGCCACCATCATTACAGTTACGTTAAGATGCCCAAATTTTCCATGACATATCCCATCCTCCGACCACGTTCAGTAGTGACGACTTTCATACAGGGATCTAAATGGGGGTGGGGGGAGGACGTAGCCAGTGGGGAGGCGGGAAGTGGTTTTGGGGGGGGGCGGCTGGAGAATGGGGATCTTTTTTTGTTTTTTCGTTTTTTTTTTAAACAAATTTGTCATTTAATGGATCCAAAAACAAGAAAAAGCGAAACCAAAAAAAAAAAAAAAAAATTTAAAATCCCTTCCCCAAAAGATTTTTTTTTTTTCCTCCTGGACACAAATTGCTTTGTTTCCTGTCACGTTTTAATATCAATATTAACACAATGTGTAGTCTAAAACTAGTTCCTTTGTAGTTTGCATGGGATGTGAATGCTGTCTCAACGTGCCCAGATCTAGACAAGACTGCATGAGCACCAATTCAGATGTGAAAACCAATCTCTCTCTCTCTCTTCCTCTCTCTCTTCCATATATATCTCTATTTCTCTTGTGATAATTTGGTGGGCAGTGAAGCACCTCCGGTTGGTTGCTGTAGTGTGTTGAATGATTGTTTTTTTATTCTCTCTATTTTTGGAGCTCCGAGCTTCTTAGTAGTAGCCTGGGCTGAGTATTCTTGAGTCCCTGCTGATGTTTTCGCATGGCCTTGGTTGAGTGTTAGAAGTTGGGCCTCAGCTGTTTTTCTCGAGTGTTTGGCTTGTAATGACCGGTGCATGCCTGGCTTCTGGCCTCATACCCAGCTCTATTCTCTGCACACCAGTCCTGAATAGCTACAGTGCTCAACCGAATTTTGGCGCGCCCGCTTCCCCGGCAGGCTCCAACCCCGCGCGGCCCGGAGGCTTCCCGGGGGCCAACAGCCCAGGACCTGTCGCCGATCTGTACGGCCCTGCCAGCCAGGACTCCGGAGTGGGGAATTACATAAGTGCAGCCAGCCCACAACCGGGCTCAGGCTTCGGCCACGGCATAGCTGTAAGTACCTCCCACCCCTTCCCTCCCGCCATCTCCTTTCCCGCCTGTCTCCCATGGGAGAGTGTGCCAGAAGAGCCCAGGGTTGGGGGCTGAGGAGAGGACAGTGGGTCCCGCGCCACTCCCATCCACTTCCGCCAGCCACCTGGGGCTGAAGCTCCGCTGTTTGGATTTTTCCTGAGCAACCTTTGTGCGGCCATGTGATGATGGAGTGGAAGGAGCCTGAGCAGGTCAAGTTCAGATCCCCACTCCATCACCTTCAGCGCGTGCAACCTTGAGCCCCTTATGTAATCCATCGGAACTTCACTGCCCCGGCTGCAAAGCGACAATTAAGTATGCCTCCCTCAAAAGATGGTGTGAGAATTAATGGAAATAGGGTACGTCACCTGCTAGCACGTAACAGGCCCTCAGGATGGGCCCCCCTGCTTGACCCCCATGTGGGCTGGGACTTGAGGGGCTGGGGGACCCTCCCACCTCCACCTCAGAATAGCAGCCTTGGTCAGTCGAGTCCCCGGGCCTGAGGTCCAGAGGTAGCACTTGGCCCCGGGACCCGGTGTGGGGTTCACGCTTCCTCCCGGGCGGTTTCCTCTGCTAATGTTTCTTACAGTTTCCAGGTTCCAAGTAAGTTCCCATTTGCGTTCTTTAGCCGCAGCCCTGCGGAGGCCAGATGCATTTGATATTTGTAATGCTCTGTGGTTCTATAATCTGACTAATCCAGGCAATGGAAATTTGCTTAACAGATTTGCATGCTGTTTTCAGATTGTATTGTTCTTCCCCCTCCTGGTGTGTGTGAGCATGAATGTGCCTGAGCCCACTCGCTCCATGTTCCTTCCATTTGGGAAACCGAAATTCGGCCACCCTCCATTCTAGTCAACCTCAGCATTTTGTAGGTGGTTTGGTTTGGGGGCTAAGATGGGAGTGTCTGCTGTTCCAGGTCCTGTCCCGGCCAGGTGAACCCTGCCTCAGGGGCTGAGCTGGAGAGAACAGAGCAAGTACAGACAGCGTGGGGCACTGCCTCCCCGCCTACTCCCCACCCCAGCACTGGACGCCATGCGCGTGCACGCGCGCATGCACACACAGACACACACACACACACGCAAGAATGCACACATACAGTCTAACATGCGCGTGTGCGCTCTTTCACGTACTGTCTTACACACGCATGTACACACACACACACACGTGGCCATCACCCCTGGCCGGTGCAATCTGGGTCCTTGCTCTATTCCATTCCCAAACCAGTATCACTGAAGTCAGGAGTCCGATGAGTCAGATCCCCACAGGTGAACTCCAGCACCGAGTCCGCGGTAGCAGTATTCCGTTTCAAGTTGCCCCGTTTGGGAGACTGTCTGTCACCACCCAGAGCACGACTCGCTTCCATTCACAGCGCCTGGAAACACAGACCCGATTTGTTCTTGAAAACCTGGGTCTCTTGACCTGTGGGCCGTGGCGCTTTTCTGAAATGACCACACGTGGCATCACATTTTGTCTGCGCTGGGCTTGCTCTCTCCCCAACTGGAGCTGTTGGGACTGTGGGCAGAGACACTGGGATCTTTGCCCTCCAGGGTCAGGGGCAGCAGCGCCCAGCATTTTGGGCTGAGGCCTCCCTTTGCCCTCAGCCACCACCCCCCCACCGGTGCACCTGGCTCTCAATTACCCCCTGGGCAAGCAGACGGGCTTGGGTTAGGGTGTGGGGGCCCCTTGGGGCGCAGTGTCTCAGAATTACATATTCATGCTGGCAACCACGGTCTAGTCCTAGAGATAATTTCCTTTCCCGGAATATGACAATCTGTTCCCGTGTATAGCGTGCTGATGACCTTAACAATTGTGCAATTTTAGGGACCTTTGATTGCAACGGCCTTTACAAATGGATACCATTGAGCAGGTGCTTCTGTTGCCAGCCCACTCTGAGGTACTACCTTCTCTGCCCTGTGTCCCCGCCCTGCCGGGCACGTCACACCTGTGTGCGCCCCGGTGTTCAAGTATGCACAGGCCCTGGCCTCATCGCGCTGGCGCCTCTCTCTCCTCCTCCCCGACCCCTTAGAAGTGGGGTGGGGGCCAAAAATCCAGTCTTTTACTCTCTCATCCCTTTCTCCAGCTGTAATCATGACCCCTACCTGTTTGTTTTTTTTTTCTTGATTTGAGTCTTTTGATCCCTTATCTTCTTCCCCATCTCTCATCTCTCTCTGTCTTGAAATTACGATCAAGAGTGTAGGAAACTGGAAGGTGATCTCGTGCTAGATCTGTCCCAGGGGGACAGAGGTAGGAGAACCCCAGGGTTCGGCCAAGCCGGGGACTGGGGCCAACCCCTCCAGGGTCCCGCAAGATGGCCTTTCAGGTCCCTGGATCCTTTCGGTCCCCCAACGCTCTCTGGCTTTGGCTCCTGGGGTTCATGCAGTCATACAGCCAGACTCCATCTTTTAGTGAAAAGAAAACATTTTTGCCAGTAACTACTGAGTAATTATCCAGATTACCGCACGAAAAGCAAATTAAATTAACGACATCACCTGCGTAACATGGATTTGGATCCCTGCCAGTTTCCTAACCTTTTAAACTGAGCTCAAGTTAATTAAACTTTTTTTTTAAATCACTTTGATGGGGATATGGAAGGGGCGGAGTGGAGGAGAAGGGGAGGCTGGGGCAGTCAGTGAGGGAGCCTCTTGCCACAGTCTCATTGGAAAATAAGTATCTGTTGCTCTTGGGAAGAACCCCAAGAAGGTAGAGGGGTTCTCTCGTGAAAGCTGAGTGCATACTGTGTTCGCGCGTTAGCCTGGGGGCTTGAAACGTGGGTCTGTCTCTCTGGAAGGGAGAGGGTGACAGCTGAGGCTGGGCCTGGGTTCCCACTGGGGCAGAGCGTGCTCTCCCCCACCCACCCCGGGAGCTGGGACAGAGGAGAAGCGAGGCTGAAGATGGACTTGCCACTTTGGTTTGCAGTTAATGGGACAGCTCTCTCACAGAGGGGGGTCACTCTAAGCCCCAAGTCAGCCAGGACTCTCGAGGGTGGGCCCAGTGGAGAGGACCAGATTGAGTTGAGTTCCATAGATCTCTCTTGGATTTCTCTACTGTTGCTGCTAAGGAATCAGCTCAACTAATGCAACTGCCTCTCTTAACCAAATAAAGCCCGTGTGTGATTCTCCCCACCCCTCACCTCCACTTCCCTTCGAGCACTGACCCCAGCCATTGCTGGCCAGCGCCAGAGGCCACTAACAGTTTGAAGGAGAGCTACTCACTACTAATTAAGCTGGGTTTGGGGGCCCAGGGGAAGTAAGGTTCCTCTGAGCAAAGGGGACTGAACTCCCCAAGAACTCTGGGGATTGGAGGTGGTTCGAGCCCTTTGTGGAGTCAGATGAGGAGGGGATGGAACAGGTACCGGGCACAGCAGGTCCCCGCAAGGTCAGACCCCGAAGCTGCCCTGCCCCACCGCCCTGGCGCTCTTCCTCCCCTGGAAATGAGGGTGGGGTAGGGCTTCCCACCACAGCCCACCCTCCCTTCCACAGCCGCTGTAGGAGCCGGGGGAGGGCAAGGCACCCACCCCATCCTCCTCATCCAGCTCTAGGACCCGGTTCCCACAGAAGGGATATCACATTTGAGAGATTGATAGTAGCACCCCACCCCCAAAATGGGATCACATGTACAAACCGAAACACGCAATTTGTCCATAACCGAGGTTTCCTTCTCTGACATTTAGTGCCCTCCACAAGGGAGGCGCCCAGGCTTGATTCAGGGAGACTCAAGTCTGTGTGAGTCGCGGGTCTCTCTTTGTTTACTGTAACCAAAGCTGGTTATTTGTTGCATATGTTTTCCTGACTTCAAGCCCTTGATATGAGATATAATTTTTTTAGATTTTTTTTAATTTGCATTTTCAGTTATTGGCAGTCATTGATGGTATTTGATAAAGCAGCTTTTTTAAACATTTGGCTTTGAAGACCAGAAGTTTAACCAGAATTTAAAAAAAAAAAACAAAATCCCTTGTCAGTTTGCAATTCACCAATGGAGCCGAACACCCAGTGTGGCCACATCTGCTGACCACATTTCCTGCCACTGCCCACGCCCAAGAATTCAACAGTGCTGTAGCAAGTCAGCGGAATAGCAAATCAGCAAAAATGAGTGGCAGGGCTGTCCGCTCCCCAGTGTCAGGCGTGGCGAAGATGCCCGATTTTCCAAGCAGTGATCCCAGGAAGCTGTTAGCCCCGCCGTTTCCAGTCATGAGTTGAGCAGCCTGTTGTAGTTCTACCCTGAAAGCACTAGTTAAAAAGTTGGACTAAATAGTACGTCTGCCTGACACATCTTCTCTCTCCTCCCGCTTCCCACTTTATGTTCTCCTCTGGGCATCCGTGACCTTCCGCACCCTGCAGAGCATACCTGGATGTCCAGGCAAGACTGGGCGAAGTTTCTGAGTGGCCCTTTGTTTAGGTGATGTCATCAGACCTGGACCCCCACCAGCCTCACTCCCCATCCCAACCAGAGATGGCTCACTTCGGATCGAGGGTTGACTACATCTCATCATCTCACGAATCTGCTGTAATATAAGACAACAGCTTTTAAATGTGTATATAACCCATGATTTTTGGTTTTGTTTTGTTTTGTTTTTTCTTGATGGTTTCCCATCCTCTTCTCTCCCCCACCCCCGCCCCGCCCCTTCTCCTTTTAAATCTCTTTGAATCACATTTGGTAGTGATTTTGACTTAGTCCGGTAGTCATATAGCTTTAATATCTAGTTAAAAGCTAACCATAGTATAATTGTTATATTAAGGTATTATTTTTTTCTTAAAAAGATTTTTTTTTTTTTTTGCTTGTTTTGATTCTGTTCTCACTTTTAAAGGATGCTGAGATGGTAATATTACTCTCAATATTTTGGTACCAATTCTGAGACTGTATGGCTTTTCCGGTGGAGCGCGTACACCCACAGAAGCAAAGTTGTGGAGCGGGAGGTGGGCATCAACTTTCTCCTTTGCGTCGTATAAGAAGTGAGATGTAGTAGGCTAATTAACAGACTCTATAGCGGTTCTTTTTTGTGACGTCTCTTTGTTAACCTAAGTATATCTATTTTCGGCAATAAGGTAAGGACGACCATGTTTTGAGTGTCCTCCTTTTCTATAAGTGCTTTTTTTCTGTTGAAAGAGGTGATATTATAAGGTTTTTTGAAATTGTGAATTCTAAAAAAAAAAAAAAGCGTTGTAAATACAATTCCATTAACTACATAGAAACTATTAAGAAAGAGAGAATCAAAAAATATTTTTGTGAGGGAGTCGGTCCCAGGCAGTTCGATGCTCTGTGGAGGGAGGAGGGGAAGGCATGATAACCCAGTCAGTTCCCAGGAGGAAGGACACCCCTGTTGCCCGGACGACCCCCGGGAAAAGTTAGAACACTGTTTAGCTCCTTCTGTCTGTGTGATAGACCTAAGAACTGTATTAGTGTCATACCAGCATATTAACCTCTCGTCTGTGCACAGCTTCAAATGTTACCGTCTAGTTAGATTTTTATTTAAAATATGAAAAACTGCTTTTCCCAAGACGTTTTTTAAAAACAAAGCTACAATTTTAATATTTAACATATTTAAAGTTTCAAAGCACACCTGTTTGGCTTGGGTGGGGAGGGGGTGGGGGGACATTCTTTTTCAGTCTTAATTTTTAAATATTTGATCATTTTCTATTGTCCAACCATTTCAGCACCTCCAAAGGTCCCTAGGACACTTGGCCTCTCTTTGCTTCCCTGCCCCGCACTGCCCCCCCCAGGCCCCGGGGAGCGGGGGAGGGGGGCCCTCGGGCCAGGGGCGGATAAGCCTGCATTAATGAAACCTTTTCTCCATTCACTTCCTATTTACAAATTAGGAGAGCAACCTTTTTTGGTTTATATATTTTTTTTAATACCTCAGTGCTGCAAGTATCACCAGAGAGGCTATGGAAGAATTTTTTTTTTTAATTTATTGTAGATGTAAACAGAATTTTAAAAATAAAAAAAGTATAAACATCGCTGCACTGTGACTGGTGGGAAAAACTGACAGTTTCCTGTTTGCACATGTTTAACATTTGGCTGTTATAATATATGGTCCTCGGTTGGGGAAAGATACTTATGATGAAGGATATTTTTTAATTTAACTTTTTTTTTAATATTGGTAATAGGTCGGCAACAGCAACTCTAGAAGTACAACTCAGTAGATGGCATTAAAACATATTGTAGTGTGGATATATATTTTTTTCTTTTTTAAAATGTGATATTGATGTTTTATTAATATTTTTTAAATTGTTACGTTTATAAATTTGGTACTTAAGGCACAGCCAGTATGAGACACTGAATGCGACATTTATTATAAAAAGCTGCTGCACTCCTATTTTTATAAATTTTACTAACAAAGTAGACTAATGTAGACTTCACAGACGTGGTAGGGCAAAAGCATCTTCAAACAAAAGGCTCCAAAATGCTAACTCAGAAAGAAAGAAAAAAAGCCTTTTTCAATTCTAATTAAACAGCAACAACATTTAAAAAAAAAAAAATCTGTTTTTCCGATTAAATGTTAGGTTGTTTGGTGAGGGGTTTATTGTTTCGTTTTTTTTCTTTTTTTATTTCCAAACAACCAAGTTGAGTAAAATGCTGGGCGCTTTTAAAATATCAAAACGTGTTCGAGGGATAAAATAACAAAATAGAAAAGTTTTATTAAAAAAGAGAAAAAAGACCATAAATTCCCAGAAATTCAGTGTCTAGACTAGGGAATTTAATTACTCTTTTGTCCATGTTGGTGATGTACTGTAGGACCCTTCCTTTCTCTGCACCCCCATCACCTCATAGAAGACTCTTTGTTGATCACTGTCTGTTAATAATGTATAAAATGGCTATCTTGTAAGCGTGCTGTCCTCGTACTAGTATAGTGACTTTTTTTCTTCTCTTTCTTCTAGTACATATTGATAGGTATAACGTAATTAAGGTTTAAAAAAATTAGACATAGTTATTCAGATTTAGGACCAGTAAGGATAGAACTTTCTCTTATTTATGGAAAAAAAAAAATTGCTAATAATTTTGGGGCAGGTTTTTCCTTTCAATTTTTTTTTTTCAATTTCAACTTTTTATTTTATTTTTGCTGATCTGATGTGGTTTCAACTAACCCAAGGTCTCATGATGTTCAAATGCCGGCAGACTCCGCGGCGTTTTGTAGATTCCCACCCCCCCCCCCAAACTGTGAAGGGGTGTGCCATACTACCTTAAATGCTAATGCTAGATATGCAAAACTGGATTTTTTTAATTTATTTTTTAAAAGAGGGAGGCATGGTATATTAAAATGATTTTACTAAGAGAAAAAATATTTTTTTAAGAATGCTCAGAAGAAATTGATAATCTGTGTGAATATGTTTTAGATGTTTATAATACCTTTTGAAGAGACCCAGTAGCCCATAGCACAAATCTCGTGGAAATCTGATATGTTTTAATGTGGCTACCTAGGTTAAGGTTCACGTTAGTCCCCCCACTCATCTAGAAGTCCATTTTGAAAGATTTTTGTAAATTATTTTAGCACTGATGTTCAGCCTTGTCTTTGTTTCAGTTAAGCTCAATGGCGACCATGGGAACCACCTTTTCGCCTTCCCTGGGGGAGAAACCCTCTTGGCTGATGGCTTTTCCCCCCGGAATCACTAAATAGCCACCGGGTGACTTTCTGGCTTCCAGATCCATCTGCCTGGGACCCCCGAACTCCTCTCCTCCCAAGCAGAGGGGAGTGAGTGGCATTAGCTCCCGGACCCATTCCTGGTTCTACCTGGACCTGGAGCTGACGGGGACGGCCAAGCCTTTGGTCCCCTCCCCAGGAGCTTTCTCAGCCCTGGTTTGTGGCCTTCCTCACACCCATTGGGAAAACCAAACAGCCTCGTGTTCTATCCCAGTCGCTCATTGGCTTAATTCAAACGAAATCCCGACAGGCCTTTTTACGTTTCTCTCCTTCATAACCGTCATCCTAATTTGAATCTGTAGCTTGGACTTTAAGGTAGCATGGCTCTATTGCTGTCCATTTCCTGTTTCACTGCACAGCAATTCACAGCCAGTGAATGTTACACACATCTTGCTAGACTAGTCTAAAAATCATTGGGTAATTGTTGGTTCTAATGACCTGAAAGGTGTTCAGTTTTTGTTTTCAGGTGGTTTTTTTGGGGGGTTTTGTTTCGTTTTTGTTTTAGGGTGTTTTGTTTTTTTGTTTTGTTTTTGACAAGGGGGGGTTCTTTTTCATTTGGGAGATTTTGAAAAAAAAAAATTGTTTTTTCGTTCCAAATAGAAAAACAAGACCTATTTTGATCTTTAGTGCAAACGAGGGCTAGGGACTTAGCCACCACCACACCACACTGCTTCATCCTGCCGTTCGCTCACTGCAGCATAATCAAGAATAAAGCAATATAGTTTACTACATTTTTTATTGAAGGTCAGCCATGCTTTCTGTATTATATTGCATATGAAATTGTTTACAAAAGAAACACTAACTCATACTTCTCTTTATCGGTTGGGAGTGGCACGCAGAGACAGAGGGAGACTGTGCCAGGGGGGTAGGGGTGCGGGGCAGAATTTTCTTTCTTCAGTGTGCTTCAACAAGCCGGGCTACCTTCCAAGGAAGATAAAAGTGGGGGGCAGGGGGAGGCAGAGGGATGGAGGCTGGCAAGCACATTGAAGAGAGATGCTGGTGGGCTCCTCTGCCCTCCCCTAAGCAGAAAAGCAGCAGAATCAGCTCAGCCCGGTCCTGGGCACAGACACTACACAAGGAGACGCTGTACGTTAAGCAATACTTTAATACTGTAATATGTTTGTTTTCTTTTTCTTTTAACCAAAAAGTAAGTAAACTCAAACAAAAAATATATATATAAATAAAACCCACCCCTCTGGGGAAGCAACCTTAACTCAAATACTTGGCTATCAATCAGAATGTATTGTCTCAGACAGGACTTCATTTCTGGGAGGCAGGGGCGCGAGGGGGGAGGGGGAGGGGGTCTGAGAGCCAAAAGTTCCAGAGCCTCCCTAGAAGGCTCTCAGCTACTGTATTCTGTACATACTGCACCATCCTGTGTGGAATCTGTGAGTGTCCTCTCGAGTGGCGTGGGCTAGCCAATCTGCCGTTCATGGTGTATTGTAAACGCGGAATTCCATATGTAATAGGATGCAAGTCTAAGCGTTTCATGTGGACATAAATGTATCTAAATAAAACTTTCCCTAGCACTGTGGCTGACCTCACCCTTACTTTTATACTTTAGTATGAAACTGATGACAACTTTGGTAGTGAGTATTTTTTTTATATATATACATATATATGTATCTATCTATCTATCTATATATCGCAAGCATCTTTCAGGTCTTTGTGTGTGGCTTTCTTAAAGCCCTGTTGTAAAAAATTACTATGTGGATGGCAGTCTCTCACATCACAGATGTGGAAAGTATAATTTTATATTTGTATTTTCAAATAAATAAGTTTGTGAAAGGTTTCCATCCTCTACTGTGGTCCAGAAATCAATGTGTTTGTCTGACAAAAAAAAATAAAATAAAATACAATAAACTGTTTTGAACAGAGTTGTCTGGTGTTCTTTCACTTACAGGGGAGGGCTGGGGGGGGAAGTGTCCCC